ACGGTGCTGCTGGATGCCAGCGCAATGCCATCTAGAGAAACTATATCATTAGATAACTGATTTCGGAGGTGTTCTGGGCCTAGTAGAATAACTTCAGTTTTGCCTGAGTTTAACATCAGGAAGTTGCAGGTCATCCAGGTTTTTATGTCCTTAAGACATGCTTGCAGTTTAGCAAGCTGATTGGTTTCATCTGGTTTGATCGATATATATAATTGAGTATCATCTGCATAACAGTGAAAGTTTATAGAGTGTTTTCTGATAATATTGCCTAGAGGAAGCATATATAAGGTGAACAAGATTGGTCCAAGCACAGAACCTTGTGGAACTCCATAAATGACGTCGGTCTTCATCGAGGCTTCATCGTTTACATAAACAAACTGAGATTGATCCGATAAATAGGATCCAAACCAGTTCAGTGCGGTTCCTTTGATGCCAATATAATGTTCAAGTCTGTAACAGGATGTAGTGGTCTATAGTGTCGAACGCAGCACTAAGGTCTAACAGGACAAGAACAGAGACTAGTCCTTTGTCTGATGCAATTAGAAGGTCATTAGTTATTTTTACCAGAGCTGTCTCTGTGCTATGATGCTTTCTAAATCCTGACTGAAAATCCTCAAATAAACTATTGTTACGTAGAAAGTCACACAACTGATTTGCAACTGCTTTCTCAAGGATCTTAGAGAGAAAGGGAAGGTTAGAGATCGGTCTATAGTTAGCCAACACCTCTGGATCGAGAGTAGGCTTCTTAAGAAGAGGTTTAATTACAGCTACTTTGAAGGACTGTGGTACATGGCCTGTTAGTAAAGACAGGTTGATCATATCTAATAAAGTCGTGCTAATTAATGGTAGCACTTCTTTAAACAGCCTAGTCGATATAGGGTCTAAGAGACAGGTAGAAGGTTTAGACGTAGAAATTGTTGAAGTCAGTTTGTCAAGGTCGACGGGAGTAAAGCCATCTAAACATATATCAGGGTTTACAGCTGTTTCTAAGGTTACTCTATTTGTGGAAAGATCAGTACTAGTCGAGGGCGGTACATTGTTTATATTCTCTCTAATAATTATAATCTTATCATTAAAGAAGTTCATGAAGTCATTGCTACTGAGGTCTATAGGGATACTCGGCACAACAGAGCTGTGACTCTCTGTCAGCCTGGCTACAGTGCTGAAGAGAAACCTGGGGTTGTTCTTATTTTTCTCTATTAACGATGAGTAATAAGCTGCTCTGGCATTACGGAGGGGCTTCTTATACGTTTTAAGACTGTCTCGCCAGACTAACCGAGATTCTTCCAAGTTAGTGGAACGCCATGTTCTTTCAAGTTTTCGCGATGTTTGCTTTAATTTGCGGGTTTCAGGGTTATACCAAGGAGCGAACCTCCTTTGTTTTACTAACTTATTTTTTATAGGAGCAATAGAGTCTAGTGTCCTTCTCAGTGAGCTTGTAGCACTATCGACAAGATGATCAATCTGGGTAGGACTAAAGTTAGCACAGGAGTCCTCTGTTATACTGAAGCATGTATTGAATTAAATACAGACGGAATCGCTTCTTTAAATTGAGCTACGGCACCATCAGATAGACATCTAGTGTAGTAACTCTTGCTTACCGGTGTACACTCCGTTAGTAGGAATTCAAAGGTTATTAGATAATGGTCCGATAAAAGAGGGTTCTGTGGATAGACTATTAAATCTTCTATGTTAATGCCATAAGTCAGAACCAGGTCGAGAGTGTGGTTAAAACAGTGAGTGGGTTTCTGTACATTCTGACAGAAACCAATCGAATCTAATAATAAGATAAATGCAGTACTGAGGCTATTGTTCTCGACATCCACATGAATATTAAAATCACCTACAATAATTACTTTATCTGTTTTAAGGACTAGACTTGATAAAAACTGAGAAAATTCTGATAAAAATTCAGAATACGGACCTGGGGCCCGGTACACTATAACAAATATAACTGGCTGTATTGTTTTCCAGGTTGGGTGTGAAAGACTAAGAACCAAGCTTTCAAATGAGTTATAATCTAGTTTAGGTTTAGGGTTTAATAATAGGCTTGAATCAAAGATGGCTGCTACTCCACCTCCTCGGCCGGTGCCTCGAGGAATGTGAGTATTGATATGACTTGGAGGAGTTGATTCATTTAGGCTGACATATTCTTCATTACACAGCCAGGTTTCAGTAAGACAAAATAAATCAACATGATTATCTGATATTAGCTCATTTACTAATACAGCTTTAGATGACAAAGATCTGATATTTAAGAGTCCACATTTAATTATCCTATTTTGTTGCACTGTTGCGGTAGTTTTAACTTGGATTAGGTTATTTTGTTTAACTCCTCGATAGTTTATTTTTGATTTAATTAATTGAAGTGGCCGTGGGGCAGACACAGTCTCTATGTGGTTTTGGGTGAGTAACTGCTCTAATGGAAGCTCAGAGGAGTGTGTAAGACTGCAACTCTGCTTCCTGGTCTGAACTCTGGGTTGTCATGGACCAGGTCCACACAGAAACTGGGTCAGATTTGCAGAAATGAGATCTGCTCCATCCAAAGTGGGATGAATGCCGTCCCTCCTAAGCAAACCAGGTTTTCCCCAGAAAGTGTCCCAGTTGTCTACAAAGCCAATGGTGGGATGCATCAATGCCATATAAATCATAGCTTTGCCAAGGTTTTTTATTAGTGCTGGGCAAGTTAACGCGTTAATTTCGCGTTAACGCATTCATTAATTAACGCCGACAATTATTTTATCGCGCGTTAACGCATTTCTAATTTCTTTTTTTTTTTTTAATTGAAAGACAAGAGACAATACATAGACATAACAACAAGAGGATGACAAGAACAGTGGGATATTGTAACAGACTGTCTCATGTTTATCGTTTTGTATTGGAGGTATGATGTCCCTTCAGGGTTGCCGTAGAGAAAAGGCGACTTCCGCTTCTGGTCGAGGGGGGCAGAAATAATAAAGAGAGAAACTGCACCAGCTGTTGCTCTCCCTGGAGACTACTGGACATCGCTGCGGTAAAGTCAGCAGACACTCAGATCTCCGTGGTCAACTCAGCAGACACTTACATTTTAGTGCACCTATATGCTGAAATTCACGGTAAACGCATTTAAACAGCACAGATCGGGAGCGAGCAAAGGACTTTGAAAGTAAGCGGAAAGATTAACGTGAGACAACATCCGGTTTCTTCAGACGAACATCCGGTTTTCAGAATAAGATGCCAACAAAGTATGAATTATATTCACATTAAGTATAAAACATGCTACCTGCATCTCGTGAACCAAATGTTATTGCCCTTTTGTTCATATAGCAGTACTTTTAAAATAAAAGTGCGCAATACACTACTTTTGAATTCATTATTGAACTTTGCCATAACAATGCGATTAATCGCAAAAAATCCATGCGATTAATCGCGATTAAATATTTTAATCGTTGCCCAGCACTATTTTTTATACATGTTTCAGCCCATTCCAGTGAGCATCCCTCAATCTTACTTCAGGAAACTAGACGTTACTGTTTCATCTTTCATTTGGTCTGGTAAGGTTCCTTGAATTTCTAGAAAAGCACTTGCGAAGGTGGATTTAGTAGTTCAAACTCTACTACATGCCCATTCATTTATACATTTTGGCTTGCTGGCGTCGTAACCCGGAAGAGATGCCTGCATATATCAAGCAACTTCTCTGCAAGCGTCCCTGTCTCCCAGCATTGATTCCTTAATAGTCCAACAAAGGCTAAAAATAGACATATTATACAGGAACAATCTCACAATCCAAAACTCCTTGAAAGTTTGGTCTCAGGCGTTATCAATATTGAAAGCCCCTCCACAACATGGAGGGAGACAGGTATCGTCTTTCTTTATATTTCTATGTTGACAATCTCCTCGCCTCTTTCCAGCTACTGCAGCAGGCCTTTCAGCTCAGCTCTGCACTGGCAGAAACCCCCATGCTGCTTTACTGAAAGGTGCTGTGTCTCCTTCTTACACCATCTAACAAAATTTAGATAGCTCATCATCAAATTCCTTTAGGGAGGAATCGGGTACTGAAATTACAGAAGTGTGGAAAGCCTTTATTGAACATATTCACAGTAGCTTCATCGATCTGTGTGAAATATATTTAAATGATTAAGGAACTATATTTCAACAATTCTTTAAATGCTTTGGGTGGCAAACCTTTTGGGGTCATTTCTTAAATTATTTTGCCAAAGCCACAGGAGTCCCCGTCCCCCTCATTTGGTATGTGGCCGAAGGAATCAGGAAATATGTTGTTACATCTCAAGAAAATAAGATTCACAATGTCAAACAGAGAGTTGTTTTTCCCCTGTAGATTTGTTGTTTGTGTGGAATTGTTTCCCGTTGTAAAAGCAATGAGCTTTCTCGAAGGTGTAAGTGTCGACCTACATCAGTTCCCAGATGGTCCATTCAGCTCAGACACTGGGATCCAGATCGGGACAATGGTGCCTTCAAGTTCACCACGTAGAAAGTCCATTATAAAGACCCGTTATGTGGCCGTGCTCTTCTGATATACAGTCTAAGTGCATCATTCAAGTGGACATTGTTCAATCTGTTTAAACAACTAAAAAGCCAACAACTAATGCAGTGCCAGAATGAAATTAAGAGAATACAATGTATGTCAGGAGGCCTACGACTGTTTTAAACACATTTGTTATCGTCTTGAACACATGCTAAGGTAACAATACAAGAGAATGCCTAAAAACAATCTGAGAAGAAGGACTTATTGCAGCCCTGCTGTATTTCATTTTTAAATGAAAGCCACATTTGCATCGTCAGTTCATGGCTATTGTCCGTGGCCGACATGTAAATAATGCCAATTTCCGACAACTGTAAATGCAGCACCCCTTTCTCCAGCCACAGAGGACGTCGCCTCCTCCTGACCGTTATTCCTCACTGGAGCTCTGATTTGGGCAATTCAGTGTAACGACACGTAAGTTGTGGTTGCTGAGCTGGTGGTGTCTTAACTTCTATCAGTCACGCTACATGGTACGTTTATCTTAAAGAAGGACCGGAGGTAGTTGCTGTCACCACCTCCTTTTAATATCATCTGAAAGCTAACGCAACAGCAAGCTCGCTTGGCAGCCATAACTAAATGTTGCCACTGTTGGCTATAGCTAGCTAGCAAGTGCGAGCTAACACCTCTGACAGGCGGCGTTACGCTGTTCGGCTGTAGCTAACGATAGCACATGGTTTACTAATCATACTAACAACATGCACGTGTCCTGCCTTTTCATCTATCAGAAACGCTAGCTACTAAAGTTAGTTACCAAGGACTGAAACTGTTTCAGTTGACTGTTGGATTTATGTGTAGCACAATGGCCCCATCTACTGTTGTAGTTTTGCAAAGTTAAATCAAATTGAAACAGCGAGAGAAGGCTGCTGTCTATTCCCTGGAGCCCAAGGTGAGCCCTTCAGATACGCTGTTTGTCCGACAGATTGTATCAAATCTAAACATACGGAATGATGAAACAAAAAAGCAAATAAATTATTTTGTATATTGTCAATGTTACTGTTTAATGTGTTTGATCAAGTTTCTATGGCCTCCTTTTTTTTTTTAGAAGTTAGGGAAAGTATCGATGTCATTCTAACTATGACATAATGTCATGTTTATTTGTTCAAACTGAACTAATGCATCAACCAACATGTGTTAGTCTAATTCCTGATGTCTTTCTTTGGTCATTTGAAAGTAGTCTTCTTCAAATGTATGTTGAACAGAGAAGACGTACAGCGTGTTGGTCGGATCTAGCCACCACACTTAGATCTGTGGTGACATTTGTAACTATTGGTGTCTAAGAATAGTGGTGCTGGAAAAGTAGTAGTGGAAAAAAAATGTCAGTAGCATGAACCTTCCAACAACTGCAAATAGATGCACAGGTGGCAACATACACCGGAGCAAACCGCCTGTGTGACCAAATCATGTATGCAGAACTTCTAATAGGGGCACGATGAGAACAGATAACTCTCATTGTACTTTTCATCTCTCTTTTTGTGCAGCATGAACATTGCACGGCAAGTCCTGAATCGCTCCAAGCTTATTGCACATCACTCGGCTAACGTGAACTGCAGGAGAAGGTTCTGCACTTCACAGGTAAGCCCACTCTAAAGCTCTTTGAATGTAGCTATGTTGTGCGGTTGGGGATAAACTAATTGGCAGGACTTCTCTTAAAACTAGACACTGTTAAAAGAAAGCTTATGCACCGACATGGTCTCAACAGCTCAACAGACACTGATCAAAGTCCTGGTATGTTAGCGTTTGCCATCAGAGTGAGTAGTTGATGATTATTTTACTTCCATCGCACAGCTCGTTGGACAGGGAAGTCCGTAGTTGCGATTGCAATATGTAAAGGAAGACTGAAGATGTTCATTTAAGGCATATCTCTAATGCGTCTCCGTTTTGCGTTGCAGCACATGATGAAGTCACGGCACACACACTCCAAGAGAATCGAGGGACTGGACAAGAATGTCTGGTGAGTTTAAAACATTCCTCTCTTTGTCAGGTTTCCGTTTCACACTGTACCGTTATGACATGAAAGCCAGCCAGGTTACTGATGTTAGACAAGAGCAAAGTAAGTCTGGCATGTAGTGTGTGAAGTACTGTAGCTCTGTATTCTTCATGCTATTTGATTTGATTTTGATATATCCCATTTAAACGAATTTAAATGTGTAATGGGAGTGGTTTTTACTGAAGGATTAATGTATTTGTATTATATTGTGTCTTTTTCACTATGGTCGATTTAATGTACATCAACATGCGAGGAAAACACACATATTGTTGGCTGTGCTTGGAACAGAAAAAAATAGCCGGCAGTCAATGTTGATATCAAATCATAACAATAGGTTTGGGTGAAAAACTGCAGTTTAAAATATATTTTCGTCTGTTTTTCTTAGAAATGTGTTCTTTGGTCAAAAGCCTTTTTTTTAAAAATATATACGTATATATATCTAGTGCTGTCAAGTAATTGCTTGTTTTATTTTCAATGTAGGGTGGCATTTACTTCGTTGGCAGCTGACCCATCTGTTGTTAACCTGGGCCAAGGCTTTCCAGACATCCCTCCACCTTCATATGTCAAGGAGGCTCTAGCGCAGGCTGCATCAGTGGACCTGATGAACCAGTACACCAGGGGCTTTGTAAGACCGATGAACTCACTGTTATCACCCACTCATGGTCCGCTACTGCTAAAAGCAAATCGTTTTTGGAATCTAGTTATTTAAAATGACAGTTCACCCCAAAGTCAAAAATCCATATTTTCCCTCCTATTTCAAGTGCTATTTATCAATCGTGATTGTTTTAGTTTGAGTGGAAGCGTGTTGGAGATATCAGCCGCAGAGATGTCTGCCTGCTCTCTAGTATAATGGGAGTTTGGGGCACTTGTGGTGCTCAGAGCGCCAAAAATACAAAACAAATCCAGAAATCATGACCCAGACACTCAAGATAATCTACGTCAAACTGTCCACAACAACTAGGCAACTTACACCAACATAATTTAGACTGATGAAATGTACTTCAGATTTTGGTGTCAACACTCATTAACATTTCTTATGATTCCATTTTAAAAGGATAAGTGTAGCCGAGGGACTTGAATTTAAATTAGGTCACGACAATTAATGAGCTGTAATTTAGAATGAATCAGTAGTCGGCGTTAAGCGGTGTTTAATCAAAGCAAATTTGAAAATAGAAGTTTATTATTTGGACTGATTTTGCAGTGCAATAGGAACCTTTGGTTATTGTCAGCTTGTATTATAACCAACAATACCTGACATGTATTTTACTCAACTACCAGCTAAAACTCCATCACGTATTAAAAGCTGCAGTTTGTAAATGTTGAGATTGGAGCAATCACATCAAATAAAAATTGACATTATGGTACATTTACTGTATCTTGTTTTTATGACTTTTGTCTTCTGTTGATCTACAAGGGCCATCCGTCTTTGGTGAAGGCCCTTTCTCAGGTTTATGGAAAGGTCTACGAATGCCAGATTGACCCCCTGAAAGAAATCCTGGTCACAGTAGGAGGCTATGGTTCCCTGTTCAGCACCATGCAAGGACTGGTGGATGAGGGAGATGAGGTACGGACATCGCTCTCGCTCTCTCTGGGTCATACAGAGTTGTTTGTATTCATTGATGTATATACATTCATAAACATGCTCCCAGTATTTATTGTGTAACGTCTCTCTCTCCAGGTCATCATAATAGAACCTTTCTTCGACTGCTATTTACCGATGGTGCGAATGGCGGGGGCCAAGCCTGTGCTGATACCGTTACGTCTCGTAAGTTCAACCTGCAGCTGCTGATGTTTGGCATTCATGTACCACAAGTACAGTTTCTACTCTACATGCGGCACGCCTTGAGTAGGTTTAGTAGATTTGAGGGAAATGTCTTCTGCAATATTTCAGAAGTCTGGAAAGAAGACGATCACAAGTGCCGACTGGTTTCTTGACCCGGATGAGCTTTCCAGTAAATTCAACTCTAAGACAAAGGCCATTATCATCAACACCCCCAACAATCCTATCGGGAAGGTAAGTATTCCTCACGGTCGTCCCTCGTTAGGTCTGACAGATGCAAACACCTGCTGACAGGAAGTCCTGTCCTCTTCCTGCAGGTTTTCACCAGAGATGAGCTGCAGATGATCGCTGACCTCTGTATTAAACATGACACTCTGTGCTTCAGTGATGAGGTTTATGAGTGGCTCATCTACAGGGGACACCAACATATCAAAATAGGTATGCTCAACATACCCGTCTGACGCCGATCGCCCCCGTCCATCTTATGTACAACAGAAGCTCCTCCCTTCTAAACACACAGCTGCAGAGAGTGAAACGTCTAAAACACGCTGCAAGCTTGATTTTGGGGTCCAATCGCAGCAGAAAGTTGCTCAGCAAAATAGATTCACGTGTTCTCGTGAAATAGTCGTTGCTGGAAACTCGGCGAGGAAGTACAGCAACCACTTGCAGGGCTAGTTGGCGAGTTACTGTGACTGGCAAGCTTAACTGGTCACATGCTAGCTAGCAGTTAGCATGCTAGCCCTAGCCGGTTGCAATATCCTGCCAAGGTGTACTGGGCGGCTTGTTAACAGCAAACCAGTAAGCTTGGTCGCTAACTAGACGAGTTAATCCACTGCTGTCTAACAGTATTCATGGACTCAACATGCATTAACTTTGCTTCTGTGTTTCCGTTGCACTGAAACGATTAAATCCTGAAATGTCCCCGTTATAAATACTGGTTTGATTGCGGCCATACTTTGCCTACCTCGAAGAGCATCTAAAGTATTTTCTTTGTACACACCTGCACAGTTCTACAGAAAACATTGTTGTTGTCAAATTATGTTCCTGATGTTGACAATTTAAAAAGTGCGGTTACTCAGTTTCATGAAAGTTTGATGTGGTTTTCTTTCTCTTAAGCCACTCTGCCTGGAATGTGGGACAGAACGATCACCATCAGCAGTGCAGGGAAAACCTTTAGTGTAACCGGATGGAAGGTAAGACATTGGTTGACTCGTAACACGGTTTCTAAAATTCAACAATCAGTTCTTGCACATCATGGAGCTGAAATTCTTGTCTCGTAGCTCGGTTGGTCTATAGGACCAGAGCACTTGATACGGCATCTTCAGACGGTCATGCAGAATACTCTGTACACCTGCCCGACACCTTTACAGGCAAGTTTGCGAAGCTCTTCCTCGAAATCCAAAGGATCATTTAATCCGATTTTTTTTTTTTTTTTAAAGTCAGGAACCTCCAGCTGTCTGTTTGTCTTTGTAGGAGGCTGTGGCACAAGGCTTGATGCGAAACTTTAATCTGATGGGTCAGCCGGAGTGCTACTTCTCCTCACTGGCAGAAGAACTGGAGGGCAAGAGGGACCGCATGGCTGCCATCCTGCAAGAGACCGGTATGACTCCTGTGATCCCGGAGGGAGGCTACTTCATGGTGGTGGACGTCACGTCTCTCAGTGAGTACCTGAACATTCAAACCGATGTCACTAGCACGTCTGCACCACTGCTGCTTAACGTGTCTGGACATGTCCAGCTGGGCAGCTCATTTTCACTGTAATTTAGTTGCGTTCACATGTTTTTTTGTTTTCGTGTTGACGTTAAATTTCCACACAGAGAAGAACTGAACAGGTGACACAAGAATCTAAGTGCAATGGAAGCCTGAGCTCGCAGAGGGAAGAGTTAATCTCTCAAAGCTGTCATTATTACCAGATTGGTAAAGCATAGTAGATCACTTCATGCAGAAGCAGTCATCTTCAGTCATCTGTGCTCTGTGGTTCCTGTAGACCAGGACCTCTCACACATGGTCGAGGACGAAGCATACGACTACAAGTTTGTGAAGTGGATGATTAAAGAAAAGGTAAATGAATTGAGTTCATTCATTTAGCTCCCTACAATACTTCTTAACTCGTCGCTCTCTCGTTGCAGCCATGTTTTTAAATGAATTGTTGTTAATCATTTCTACAGAAACTGGCGGCCATTCCAGTCACAGCGTTTGTTGGAGAAGAGTCCAAGAAGCAGTTTGAGAAGTACATCCGTCTGTGCTTCATTAAGGTAAATACTAAACTGCCTGTTACCAAAGTTATTATGTTAGGATTAACGTTGGACGTGGTGCACTTGTTTTCTCTGAAAAACACTATTTTCATAACCTTCCGTCTTTCTCTCAACAGCAAGACAGTACTCTCATTGCAGCGGAGGCTATCTTGAAGAACTGGAGGAAGACTTAGTTGGATGCAGTGTGTGAGGACTTCAGGGAGGAGGAGCATCTCTGGTGGAACTGAAGGAATGGGATTTTACTGTAATATTGCACACTAGAAGTTGGTAAAATACCAATAGTGAAACCGTTAATAGCAAAAAGACGGTCCATATTTTAAATGATCCTACAATCCTTGAATGTTTGCGTAGGAGTTTAATATCAGACACACGTATGTAAGCTAAGGACGGCTTCGACTGAACCTTTTTCCCCGTCTTTATTTTCCAGTAACACAGGTCCTCAGTTAGACAGGGTTGTGAAAGCTGGTTGTGGCTAGGCGTTTATTAACAGAAAGGTTTTATAATGTTAAGGTGTGTTGTAGTGCTGGGCGGTATACCGGTTCTTCCGGGGCGACAATACTTCAGCCAAACTGCTATCCCAACATTACAGGAACAGACGACCACACCCTCTAGTAAGCAAAGCCTTTATACATGATGACATTAACATGTTTTTATATTCTATGTACTCCTGACAGAGTAAGCCACTATAAACTTATATAAAAACACAGTCAAGGAAAAAAACAAATACCGTGAAACCGCCAGAAGCTTAAAAAATACCGTGATACAAATGTGTGGTCATACCGCCCAACACTAGTGTGTTGAGCCTCTTTGATGTCAATCCTTGATTGCAAAATACAAAGCTGGATGGACCTGCTGCTTGACATGTTTGGCTTCGGAAAACCGCCGTTGTAGAAGAAATCATAAATGATGCCGATGTTTGTTGCGTCAAGAAAGTATTTTTTATTAAAATCAATGCATTTAAAATGTATCGACTCAACTTGTTTTCCAGAAAATGATTGTGTGTTTGTATTGTTACATTGATGCCAATGCCAAAATTGGATACAAACTTTAGCTCTAAGCTTCCCAGGAGCTGGTCTTGGAGACTCACCCTCACAAGTGTTCGACGTCTGCTCAGGGAGCTATTAGAATAGACATGTTGACGTGTCACAGTGGGCGTGAAATGAACACCTGGTCCTCTTTCGATCCAAGAGTTCATTGGTTTAGATGTTGGATCAGAAATTTCAATTTGTGTGTAATTGGAGCCCTATTGATTTTATTAGTCAGATCTATAGAATAAGTGTTGTGTAACATATCAGTCAAAGGCTGAATACATTGAGCTTATACTACAGATAGCTCTCATAGATGGCAGACAATCTGTGATAGTTTAAGTGTACAGTATGAATATTAATTATATAATTTGTAGATATGCTGTAGCAACATCACCAAACTGTAAATGTCTTTGTGTCCTTCGCACATCTCGAGAATCATCCCTCCGATCTACTTCATACTTCAATATGAATGAACTTTGAGTAGAATCAGTTTGTGATAATATGATCATGTTGCTTAATTGTTTGACACATATCTGTTGTTGCAATTAGTGTTCGACAGATACAGGTTTCTCAATGCCTGATGGAGATATGTGGAGAGCAAGGTGGCCAAAATATTATGAAGATGTTTTTTTTAATAAAATAACACTATTTGATTCATTTATCAAAATTTCTGAACTGAAATGAACATTTATTCAACAGTTATCTTCATTGTCTCAGTTTGCTTTAGTAGATCTGCACTTAATTCAGATGAAAAATATGTAGCAACTAAATGATATGGGAATCAAAAAAGGGAACTTTGTAAAGAAATATAACAAGAACCCTGTTTACACACATGCAGGGTATTCATCTCCGCTCTGAAGGTAGCATTACAAAGTTCATCTGCACTACAAATATACAATGTTAGTTTCGTGGCCTTTGCTGGTGTTGGCTGACAGCCACAATGCCTGCAGATGTGTCTGCAGTAGGGATGGGTATCATAAGGATTTTATCAATACTCCTATTCCGTTTGGTCCTTTATACTCTTATCGGTTCTTTTTCATTACTAAAACCTTGTTTTTTAATATATACGTATATAAAATTAAAAAAATAATTATTTCACAACAGGATGAGTGGTACTCTACCCAAGTGTGCAGACATTTAGGTGTAATCGTCCTCGTGAGCGCACATGGGCTGATGTCGATTATCTCAAAATGGATCGGGTTGCTTTCTAATGTTACTGACTAAATGGAGAGAATCAGCATGTTAATCAGTACAAGCCTCCCCCCCACGGTTTTGTTGACTTCAATCACTTTAATTAATGAATCCTGTCATATGTGCCATGCGCTCTGCAATGCACATGTCTCTACTTTGTCAGAAGGGTGAATACAGACTATTAACGCGTCTGCATTGTGCCATGCACACACTCTCTCACACTGTGGACTCTACTGTTTCTAAACACGGATAAGATGTTCGTGTGGGCTGAATCGGTACAAAAATGTATTTATTCCGTCCTCCATTAAATTGTGGAATAGCAACAAGTAGTATGATATCATTGTATTGGGGGCTAATATATGGTGACTTGATTATTTATTATGTGTTGATCACACCTGGTTTTATTATTGTATTATTCGTAACTATCGTCGACATTGTTTATGCATGAGTGTACGTGTGATTTATGTTATGTGTGTGCATGTGGTGTATTGTGTGATGCAGCGACTTGGAGCCCAAGACAGATTTCCCTGCGGGACAATGAAGTATATCTTATCTGATCTTGTGTTGTGTACATCAATATACTCAAAGCAGTTCAAAAGCTGCTGGTCTACTGTCACATTGTCATGGCTCACTGGGACACTAATGTTATTATTAAGTATTTTAGTGATTTAGCTCACATTGCCTTTATTTATCTTGCTGCTAATCATTTTAATGCAAATTATAATTATGAGTTATAATTTTGCACTTGTGCTTTTTTTTACATTCCTCCCAGACGTCCATATGTAGTCCTCAATACAGATGTACACACACGCCATTGACAGAGACGTTGCTGAAACCTTGTTGATTAGCTCTGTCATTGTTCTTTCACAGCAGGCCCTTTGACTATTCAAACCAGAAATACACAAGTGCAATTAATAATAACATTAATGATGGCTCCCCTCTATTTAATGCCCCCAGTAGAGGACCAGCATGCACAGCACCAGGGGCTCGAAACTGACTCCCCCTAATGCAATGCAGCCATCATTAAAGTCATTAATCACACCTGTGCTTTCCTTGCTACGACTTGTCATTATATCTACTTCAACAAAAAAGGGATATCCATGTATGTAACATTAAAAAGTTCTTTGTCATCAGATCCAATCTCTGATGTGTTATTTATCTTTTAAACCACTTGAGGGAGACAAAGTACATCACACTGTCATAGAAGTACACCATGCACATTTAATGTGTTATTTAGTATATGTTTTCCCATTTTACAACAGTGAAACAAAACCCAACTCAATTAGTGTTTCATAGTTATTTATTATTTCTTTCTTTACATTTATATAAATATCACATCTTACTCAAACATGGCCGCTGCTTTAGCTTTAGAAAATATGGAAGCATGGTCAGATTAACAGTGGAAGAAGAAAAACACTCTCAAACATAAATACACCAAAAAACTCCATAGAGATTATAGTACTTGTCAACGTATACATAGTAATGTGAGCCGCCTTGTAAAAGGTACAACTTAACTTAAGATACTGAATTCATGGCCAGACTTTGCTATGGCCAGATGCTGGGAAGTCTGTGTAACATTAGCAGAACATGTGACACGTAATGGGTTATTCCCGCTGCTTATGTATCAATCAAATCCTTACTGTACCTACCATACATTTACTAGACTGTACATTTATATCCAAATCACAAGCACACAAGGCTAGTGTGTCAACACATACACATGCCACGCCTAAGCCACACACATTTGGATTGATGGAATACTGTATCGTCACTGTCATAATGTAATGAGCAACATCTCCAAATCATCCTAAAAATCTAAAGCAACACATGGAAGGTTAACATTCTCACTCAACATTGTTCTGAAAGGGAAGAAGCACTCAATGTCTCCAGATAAGCGTGACTCATTGCCATCTGTTGCAGATATTACAGCATGTCTACCCAGTTCAATGTCTTTAATCCACTAAACTCAAATCAAAAGTAAACTAAATCAAGTTATTAGAAGCAACTTCATAATGAGTAAATGGCTAAAGTACCACAGACCAGGGGATCAAATGAAACTAGCGAAGCCAGCTGGTGTCATTCTTTAATCATGAGGCCGTGGACACACGGAGAGGAAAACAGTGAGGACTCCATTGCAGGAATGTATATGTAAAGGAAACGGATCTTTTGTCCCAGCAGACAGGTGTAATCCGCTTCTGTGGTTATTCATAAACCTGGCCGCCTGTTACCATGACATCATGAGCCTACATGTATTCAGAGGTTCACACGGTCATGATGTGAGGATGTTAATGTCGGGGTCGGCGGGGCGAACATCAACGCCTCTCCTCACCTCCTGTGGCGGTGAGGCTATATACGATTAAAAAGAATATCACACAATGCTTCCTGTTGCAGCTTGAGTGCAGGCCCACCACTGATGACTGAGTGCTGGAAATAGCTGTTTAGTTCAACATGCTTCAGGCATGGGCTGCAGTCATTTATCCACGTACCATCATGCAACACGGGCCTTCTTCAGTTCTGAATTTATTTGGAATATCTGCCAATTTTAAAGCAAACTATACTTTATTTAACAGACGGCTCATTTTAATGTCACATCTGTGTCCATGCAAACACGCTTTTCATTCATTGTATTTCCTATTATTACACAATGCTTGTGAAAGTGCTTCTATTTCTAAACTGTGTTTAGTGAGACTTAATCTGTTCATGATTCATTTTATAACATGGTCTCTTTTTTCTGCCTTAGTCACACATAGTCAGGCGGTTTTCCGCCTTACCTCAGTTTCAGTTCCACACACCAGTGTCTGGCGTTAGCGTTAGCTCACACACTATGTGTGCCGTGTGGAGGGAATTTTTCATGTATAGGAATATCCAGCTCCAGAAAATGTGTTTATGCTTCATATAGCTGTCATTTCTTGTGAAAACCGGTGCTGGGAACACAACAACTGCAGGTGAAAATCTGAATAGGATTATGTGGTGTGCTGTTATCAGACATTCGTAGTGCGCGGTTACCAGATCCCTGTGGATTAGATGTCTGTCTGCATAATACCATCATAATTTATGTTAATTATGAATATTCTGCCAATAGTCTGCCGTCACCATGCTCTCATGAAGGCAGATTGAGGTTATTGTTGCCCTTAAAATGAGAGCAGATGTTTGTATTACTGTATGTTACCTCTAGGTGGCCACAGATCCTATTCTGTAGGAGCAGAGCATAGCTGAGCATTGTGTCCTCCTTCCTGCTCTCAAACCAAACTTTACCAAAGAGCTCTGATGTAGACGGTGCCGAGGGTGGTCGTAGTATTGTTACATCACCCGTTTGGTCGTAATCATTTAATGAATTTACTCCTTCCGGTTGAGGGATTTACAAGAGAGTAAAGACGGGTTCAAATCGAAGAAGCAGAGGACGAGAAATCCAGACTTCCCGTCTCTGGCGCGGCAAAGCTGCAATACAACTAGATCCTATG